ATAAACAAAAGGAAGAGAAAGAGAGGCTGTGGAAGTGTGGTGTTACATCTGGATAAGGAAAAAACTCTCCATATCACGGTCGGGGAATGAAAAATTTGAAGAGAGCCAGGCTCTACTTTGCAAACAGCTTTAAGAGTAAAGGTTGGAGTTTTCAGGGTTGCAGGACTTTCTCTGGACCAGAGTTGCCAGTGTGCATGCCTGAAGGGAAGGAAAGCTAACCCCAGGCTAAGTAACGATCTCAGGAGCGCACTGGGAGAAAACAGTCCCCTCACTCGAGTACTGTGAGAAGAGGGTATATTGCACCCCCAGGACAAAAGACCCTGCAGGCACAAGCCAGAGGCCCTTTGTCAGTAGGACAGAGTGACACTATTCCAGAACCCATCCACATGGAGCGGATCCTTTAAGACATCGGGTTTTGAGTCCCAGTTGAGCGTCTGGGAGGCACAGGGGAAGGAGCAAAGCAAGTTGCCCCCCACCTCCTCCACTACTCTGTGAGGGCTGCCTGAACAGTGTGGTTTGAGACACCCAGTCTGGGGAGGAGAGATTGGGGTGTTGCCATTTTCCTCCCCATTACCAACACGGTGGGGCTTCAGGGAGCAGGACAGTGGCACCCAGTGGAGGCAGGACCACTTAATACCAAACCTCGCCCCTAAGAGCCTGGTAACTACTTATCTACCGAAGTGAGATTGACACTCACTGAACTACTTGGCCCCTCCTCCAGACCAGCACGGTCACTGGTTCCAAGGCACCAATGGACAACTGTCCTGTGGTTTTGTATGTAAGTCTGATGTTTTTGTTGTTTTTCTTTTATTTCCTTCTCTTCTTTTTTCCCTGCCTTATCTTTCTACTCTCCTGTTTTTTTTCTCTCCCTGGAGAGCCTTATAGTTTCTGATTTTATTTTTGGTTGATTCTTATTATATATTTTTTTCTCTTTTTCCCCCCTCTTTTCTGGTTGTTTGTTTAATCAGGCATTTATTGCTATGTTCTTTTTATAACTTTTCTGTACTCCTTCTTTATTTTCCTCCCTCTTTTTTTTAATATGTATTTATTTTTGAGAGACAGAGCATGAGCAGGGGAGGGGCAGAGAGAGTGGGAGACACAGAATCCAAAGTAGGCTCCAAGCTCTGAGCTGTCAGCATGACTGGTGAGATCATGACCTGAGCCAAACTCAGATGCTTAACCAACTGAGCCACCCAGGCACCCCAACTGGGCTTGAAAAAAAGCATAGAAGACAGCAAGAATCTATTGCTGCACAGATCAAGGAAATAAGAAATAGTCATGATGAATTAAGAAATGTTGTAAATAGGTTAAAATAAACTAGATGCAGCGACAGCAAGGATGGAAGAAGCAGACAAAAGAATAGGTGAAATAGAAGATAAAATTATGGAAAATGATGAAGCTGAGAAAAGGAGAAAAAGGAAATTACTAGACCACGAGGGAGAATTAGAGACCTAAGTGATTCAATTAAATTAATTATATTCGTATCATAGGAGTTTCAGAAGAGGAAGAGAAAGAGGAAGAGGCAGAAGGTTTATTTGAACAAACTATATCTGAGAACTTTCCCAACCTGGGGAAAGAAACAGGCATCCAAGTCCAAGAAGCACAGAGAACTCCCTTCAGAATCAACAAAAACAGGTCAACACCATGCCATATCATAGTGAAACTGGCAAAATACAAAGATAAAGAGAGAATTCTGAAAGCAGCTAGGGGCAAATCGGGCCTTAATCTACAAAGGTAGACATATAAGAGAAGTAGCAGACCTGTCCACTGAAAATTGACAGGCCAGAAAAGAGTGGCAGGAAATATTCAATGTGCTGAATAGGAAAAATATGCAGCCAAGAGTCCTCTATCCAGCAAGGTTGTCATTTAGAATAGAAGGAGAGATAAAGGCTTTCCCAGACAAACAAAAACTAAAAGAGTTCATAACCACTAAATCAGCCCTGCAGGAGATCCTAAGGGGGACTCTGCATGTGGAAAGCAGCAAAATCTACAAAGGACCAGAGACAACACCACAAGCACAAAACCTGCAGATAACATAATGACACTAAAGCCACATCTTTCAATAATCACTCTGTATGTAAATGGACTAAATGCCCCATTTAAAAGACATTGGGTATCAGAATGTATAAAAAACCAAGATCCATCTATATGCGGCCTACAAGAGACTCATTTTAGACCTGAGGACACCTGCAGATTGGAAATGAAGGGATGGAGAACCATCTATTATGCTACTGAATGTCAAAAGAAAGCCAGAGTAGCCATACTTATATCAGACAAACTAGTTTTAAAACAATGACTGTAATAAGAGATGAAGAAGGGCATTATATTATAATTAGAGGGTGTATCCATCAAGAACAGCTAACAATTGTAAATGTTTATGCCCCCAACGTGAAAATATCAAAATATATGAATCAATTAATGGCAAACATAAATAAATGTGTAGACAACAATACTGTGATTGTAGGGGACTTTAATAATCCACTTACAACAATGGACAGATAATCTAGGCAGAAAATCAGTAAGGAAACAATGGCTCTGAATTACACATTGGACCAGATGGACTTAACAGATATATTCAGATCTTTTCATCCAAGAGCAACAGAATACACATTCTTCTCAAGTGCACATGGAACATTCTCCAAAATATATCACATACTGACCACAAAATAGCCCTCAACAAATATAAAGGATTGAGATCATACCAAGCATATCTTCAGATCACAATGCTTTGAAACTTGAAATCAACCACAAGAAAAAATTTAGAAAGCCTCCAAGTTCATGAAGGTTAAGGAACATCCTACTAAAGAATGAATGAGCCAACCAGGAAATTAAAGAAGAACTTAAAAAATATTTGGAAGCAAATGATAATGAAAACATGACAGTCCAAACCATTTAGGATGCAGCAAAGGCAGTCCTAACAGGAAAATACATTGCAATCTAGGCCTATGAAGCAAGAAAAATCCCAAATACAGAATCTAACCTCACACCTAAAGGAACTAGAAACAGAGCAGCAAAGAAACCCAAAGCCAGAAGAAGAAGATAAATAATAAAGATTAGAGCAGAAATTAACAATATAGAATCCAAAACAACAACAACAACAACAACAACAACAACAACAACAACAACAAAACAACAACAAGAACAAAAACACGGTAGAACAGATCAATAAATCTAAGAGTTGGTTTTTCAAAAGAATAAATAAAATTTATAAACCCTCAGCCAGACTTCTCAAAAAGAAGAGAGAGGGGACCCAAATAGATAAAATCATGAATGCAAGAGGAAAGATCACAACCAACACCACAGAAATACAAACAATTATAAGAAAATACTATGAAAAATTATATGCAAAAAAACTGGACAATCTGGAAGAAATGGACAAATTCCTAGATACCCACACACTACCAAAATTCAAACAGGAAGAAATAGAAAACTTGAACAGGCCCATAAGCAGCAAAGAAATTGAGTTGGTCATCAAAAGTCTTCCACCATGATCAAGTGGCATTTATTCCTGGGTTGCAGAGCTGGTTCAATATTCACAAATCAATGTGATATACCACATTATTAAAAGAAAGCATAAGAACCATATGATTTTTTCAATAGATGCAGAAAAGGCATTTGACAAAATACATTATCCTTTCTTGATAAAAACCCTTAAGAAAGTAGGGGTAGAAGGAACATGCCTCAACATCATAAAAGCCATATATGAAAGGCCTACAGCTAATATCATCCTCAATGTGTAAAAACTGAGAGCTTTCTCCCTAGGGTCAGGAACATGACAGGCATGTCCACTCTCACCCTGTCATTGAACATAGTACTGGAAGTCCTAGCCTCAGCAATCAGACAACAAAAAGAAATAAAAGGTATACAAACTGGTAAAGAAGTCAAACTTTCACTGTTCACAGATGACATGATACTCTACATAGAAAACTCTACATAGAAAAGAGTCCACCAAAAAAACATTAGAACTAATACGTGAATTCAGCAAAGTCACAGGATATAAAATCAACGTACATAAATAAGTTACGTTTCTATACACCAATAATAAGGCAGCAATAAAGAAAAATCAAGGAACCAATCCCATTGACAATAGCACCAAAAACTATAAGATATTCAGGAATAAACCTAATCAAGGAAGTAAAAGATCTGTACACTAAAAACCATAGAAAGTTTATGAAAGAAACTGAAGATATAAAGAAATGGAAAAACATCCCATGCTCATGGATTGGAAAAACAAGTATTGTTAAAATGTCAATACTACCCAATCTACACATTCAGTGCAATCCCTATCAAAATTATGCGAGCATTCTTTTCAGAGCTAGAACAAACAATCCTAAGCAAAATTAGTCAGTCAGAGAAAGACAAATATCATGTGACTTCACTCATATGAGGAATTTAAGATACAAAACAGATGAACATAAGGGAAGGGAAGCAAAAATAATATAAAAACAAGGAGGGGAACAAAACATAAAAGACTCTTAAATACAGAGAACAAACTGAGGGTTGCTGGAGGAGTTGGGGGGGGGATGGGCTAAATGGGTAAGGGGCATTAGGGAGGACACTTGTTGGGATGAGCACTGGGTGTTATACTATGGGATGAATCACTGGAATCAACTCCTGAAATCATTATAGCACTATATGTTAACTAACTTAGATGTAAACTTAAAAATAAATTTTAAAAATATTTTTTAAATAAAATTATTTCTGTCACACATGGCCCAATTTCATATGTAGAAAAACTTAAACTTTTTTACAACAGATTTGTCACCAGAACACAGGTGTCATGAAAACCACCACTAAACCTAAGCCAAAATGGGAAAGGAAGACTAATATCAACATCATAGTTATTGAATATGTAGATGCAGGCAAGTCTACCACTCCTGGTCATATGATCTAAACATGTGGTAGAATCAACAAAAGAACTATTGAAAAATTTGATAAGGGGGCATTCAAGATGAGAATGGGCTTCTTTAAGTATGCCTGGGTCTTGAGTAAACTGAAAGCAATGGTGAATGTGGTATCACCATTAATATCTCCCTGTGGAAATTCAAGACCAGCAAGTGTTATGTGACCATTATCGATGCCACAGGGCACAGACTTTATAAAAAAAAATCTCAAGCCAACTGTACTGTCCTAATTGTTGCTGCTGTTGGTGAATTTGAAGCTGGTATCATGAATGGCAGACCCATGAGCATGCCCTTCTGGCTTACACACTGGGTGTGAAACAACCATTTGTTGGTGTTAACAAAATGGATTCCACTGAGCCACCCTACAGCTGGAAGAGATATGAGGAAATGGTTAAGAAAGTCATCACCTACATTAAGAAAATTGGCTACCATCCCAGTAGCATTTGTGCCAATTTTTGGTTGGAATGGTGACAACATGCTCCAGCAAAGTGCTAACATGCCTTCTTTCAAAGGATGGAAACTTACCTATAAAGATGGCAATTCCAGTGGAACCATGCTGCTTGAAGCTCTGGATTGCATTCTGCCACCAACTTGTCCCACTAACAAGCCCTTGTGTCTGTCCCACCAGGACATCTACAAAATTGATTGTATTGGTACTGTCCCTGTGGGCCAAGTGGAGACTAGTGTTCTTAAACCTGCTATGGTGGTCACTTCTGAGTTAGAAGTGTTAGAACTGAGGTAAAGTCTGTTGACATGCACCATGAGACTTTGAGTGAGACTCTTCCTGGGGAAAATATAGACTTCAATGTCAAGAACATATCTGTCAAATATGTTCATCGTGGCAATGTGGCTGATGATAGCAAAAATGACCCATCAATGGAAGCAGCTAGCTTCCAGGATAATCACCTGAACCATCCAGGCCAAATCAGTGCTGGATATACAACTGTGCTGGATTTTCACACAGCTTACACTACTTGTAAGTTGCTGAGCTGGAGAAGATTGATCATCATTCTGGAGAAAAGCTGGAAGATGTCCCCAGGTTATTGAAATCTGGTGACGCTGCCATTGTTTGTATGGTTCCTGGCAAGCCTATGTGTGACAGCATCTCTGACTACCCTCTTCTGGGCCATTTTGCTGTTTGTGACATGAGACAGACAATTGCTGTAGGTGCCATCAAAGCAGTGGACAATAAGATAGCTGGAGCTGGCAAGGTCACCAGGTATGTCCAGGAAGCTCAGAAGGCTGAATATTATCCCCAATACCTGCCACCCCAGTCTTAATTAGTGGTGGAAGAATGGTCTCAGAACAGTTTGCATCAATTGGCAATTTCAGTTTAATAGTAAAGGACTGTGGCACAAAAACAGACACACAGACCAATGGAATAGAATAGAAACCCCAGAACTAGACCCACAAACGTATGGCCAACTAATCTTTGACAAAGCAGGAAAGAACATCCAATGGAAAAAAGACAGTCTCTTTAACAAATGGTGCTGGGACAACTGGACAGCAACATGCAGAAGGTTGAAACTAGACGACTTTCTCACACCATTCATAAAAATAAACTCAAAATGGATAAAGGACCTGAATGTGAGACAGGAAACCATCAAACCCCTAGAGGAGAAAGCAGGGAAAGACCTCTTTGACCTCAGCCGTAGCAATCTCTTACTCGACACATCCCCAAAGGCAAGGGAATTAAAAGCAAAAATGAATTACTGGGACCTTATGAAGATAACTTCTGCACAGCAAAGGAAACCAACAAAACTAAAAGGCAACCAACGGAATGGGAAAAGATATTTGCAAATGACATATCGGATAAATGGCTAGTATCCAAAGTCTATAAAGAGCTCACCAAACTCCACAACCGAAAATCAAATAGCCCAGTGAAGAAATGGGCAGAAAACATGAATAGACACTTCTCTAAAAAAGACATCTGGATGGCCAACAGGCACATGAAAAGATGCTCAACGTCGCTCCTTATCAGGGAAATATAAATCAAAACCACACTCAGATATCACCTCATGCCAGTCAGAGTGGCCAAAATGAACAAATCAGGAGACTATAGATGCTGGAGAGGATGTGGAGAAACGGGAACCCTCTTGCACTGTTGGTGGGAATGCAAACTGGTGCAGCCACTCTGGAAAACAGTGTGGAGGTTCCTCAGAAAATTAAAAATAGACCTACCCTATGACCCAGCAGTAGCACTGCTAGGAATTTACCCAAGGAATACAGGAGTACTGATGCATAGGGGCACTTGTACCCCAATGTTTATAGCAGCACTCTCATCAATAGCCAAATTATGGAAAGAGCCTAAATGTCCATCAACTGATGAATGGATAAAGGAATTGTGGTTTATATACACAATGGAGTACTATGTGGCAATGAGAAAGAATGAAATATGGCCCTTTGTAGCAACGTGGATGGAACTGGAGAGTGTGATGCTAAGTGAAATAAGCCATACAGAGAAAGATACCATATGTTTTCACTCTTATGTGGATCCTGAGAAACTTAACAGAAACCCATGGGGGAGGGGAAGGAAAAAAAAAAAAAGAGGTTAGAGTGGGAGAGAGCCAAAGCATAAGAGACTCTTAAAAACTGAGAACAAACTGAGGGTTGATGGGGGGTGGGAGGGAGGAGAGGGTGGGTGATGGGTATTGAGGAGGGCACCTTTTGGGATGAGCACTGGGTGTTGTATGGAAACCAATTTGACAATAAATTTCATATATTGAAAAATAAATAAATAAAAACTCAAGTCAGGTCATATAAAAAAATAATAGTAAAGGACTGGTTAATGATAACAATGCACTGTAAAACCTTCAGATGGGTAGGAGAATGTTTTGTGGACCACTTGGGTTGTGTTTGTGTGTGTGTGTGTGTGTGTGTGTGTTATCTTTAAGTTACTAGTTTTTAAAATCAGTACTTTTGGCATATCATCCTTGCACATGGGGCCATGCTGATCTTCTCTGCATCGCTCCAACTTTCATATACACTACCAAAGCAAGCCCTAAAATCAGTACTTTTTAATGGAAAAAACTTCACCAAAAATCTGTCACAGAATTTGAGACCCACTAAAGCAATAGTTTAATAAAAAAAAAAAAAAACTTAAAGATTATACACACACACAAACTATTAGAACCAATAAATGAAATCAGCAAAACTATAGGATAAAAATCAACACATACATATCAGTTGCATTTCTATACAGTAACAATGAACTATCAGAAAAGGAAATTAAGAAAACAATTCCAATTACAATAGCATCAAGAAGAATAAAATAATTAGAAATAAACTTAGCCAATGAATGAAAGATTACAAAATGTTGCTGAAAGAACTAGTAAATGGAAACACATCTCATGTTCATGTTTTGAAAGGCTTAATATTGTTAACATATCAATACTACCCAAGAGATCTACAGATTTAATGCAATTTAATTCAAAACGACAATGGCATTTTTTGCAGAAACATCCCAAAATTCATATGGAATCACAAGGGAACCCAGAGCCAAAACAATCTTGAAATAAGAACAGAGTTGGAGATCATGCATTTCCCGATTTCAAAATATATTACAAATCTTCAGTGATAAAAACACTGTGGTACTGGCACAAGGATAGACATATAGACTAATGGAGTAGAATAGATACCCCCCCCCAAAAAAATCCTCAAATGTTTGGTCAAGTGATTTTTGACAGAGGTGCAAAGACCATTCAATGGGGAAAGGAACTTTTCCAACACATGGTGCTGGAAAAAACTTGATATCCACATACAAAAGATTGAAATTGTACCCTTACATCTAACATCAAACAGAAAAAATAACTCAAAATAGGTCAGAGACTTAAAACTATAAAACTCTTAAAAGAAACCCAGGGCAAAAGCTTCACAACATTGGATTTGGCAATGACATCTTATATTTGACACCAAATGCATAGGCAACAAAAGAAAAAAATAGTTAAATCATACTTCATGATAATTTTGTACATTGAAAGACAGTAGCAACAGAGTAAAAAGGGAACCCACAGAGAGGGGAGAAAATATTTGCAAATAATATATCTGATAACAGATATCCAGAATATATCCAGAATATATAAAGAACTCCTAAAACTCAACAACAACAACAACAACAACAACCACAAGAAAAACAAAAACCCAATTCAAAAACAGTCAAAGTACTTGAAAAGACATTTCTCTGGAAAATATATACAAATAACCAACAAGCACATGAAAAGATGTTCAATGTCACTATTCACTAGGGCAGTGCAAATCAAAACTACAATGAGATCTCACTTCACACCTATTAGGGTGGTTGCTATTAAAAAACACAAAACAAACAAAAAAAGAGTTCTGGCCAGGATGTGGAGAAATTAGAACCCTTGATCACTACTGGTGAGAATGTAAAATGGAACAGCCACTGTGGGAAACAGTGGTATGGTGTTTCCTTGAAAAATTAAAGGTAGAATATGATACAGTAATTCCACTTCTGGGTATATGCCAAAAGAACTAAAACCAGAGTCTCAAAGACAGATATTTGTACACCAATGTTCACAGCAGCATTATTCAGCATTACAGCTAAAACATGGAAGCAATCCTAGTATCCATTGACAGATGAATGGATAGGCAAAATGCAATCTACATACAAAAGGATATTCAGCCTTAGAAAGGAAGGAAATTATGACATGTGCTGTAACATAAATGAACATTGAGCATATTATGCTAAGTGAAATAAGGCAACCCACAAAAGGACAAATATTCTATGATTCCACTTAATATGAGGTACATAAAGTAGTCAAAATCATAGAAAGTAGAATGGTGGTTGCCAGGGGATGGGGGAATGGGGAATTACTGTTTGATGAGTAAAGAGTTTCAGTTTTACATAATAAAATGAGTTATGGAGATCAATGATGGTGATGGTTGCACATTATGAATGTATTTAATACTACTGAATTTTCACTTAAAATGGTAAATTTATGTCATCTGTATCTTACCACATATTTTAAATCAGAAAAAAAAATGTTTTTCAATATTTATTTCTGAGAGAGAAAGAGACAGAGACAGAGCACGAGCAGGGAAGGGGCAGAGAGAGAGAAACACAGAATCTGAAGCAGGCTCCAGGCTCTGAGCTGTCAGCACAGAGCCCAACGTGGAGCTCAAACTCGTGAACTGCAAGATAATGACCCGAGCTGAAGTCATTTAACCGACTGAGCCACCCAGGTGCCCCAGAAAAAATATTTTTTTAAAAAAACTTTAAACAGAGTAATATGACCAAGCAATTCCATTCACAGGTATATATCTGAGAGAAGTAAACACATGCATCCACACAAAAACTTGTGCACAAATATTCACAACAGCATTATTCCTTAATAGACAAATGGTAGAAATAACCCAGTTGTCCATCAAATGAATAAAATAAACAAATCATTGCATGATTCCATTTATGTGAAATATCCAAAATAGTTAAATACATAGAGACAGAAAATAGACTATCGGTTACTTAGGGCTGGGAGATTTGGGGCTAAATGGGAGAGAGAAGTGACTGCTAATGTGTACAGGGGTTTCTTTGGGGCTGATGAAAATGTTCTAAATTGATGGTAGCGATGATTGCAAAACGCAATGAACAGGGGTCCCTGGCTGACTCAGGCAGTAGAGCGTGTGACTTTTGATCTCAGGGTCATGAGTTCAAGCCCCACATTCAGCATAGAGCTTACCTTAAAATAATAAATATTGGGGTGCCTGGATGGCTCAGTTGGTTAAGCATCCAACTCTTGGTTTCAGCACAGGTCATGAACTCACAGTTCATGTGATGGAACACTGCACTGGGCTCTATTCTGTCAGAGAATCTTAGGATTCTCTCTCTCCCTCTCTCTCTGCACCCCCCCCCCATGCTCTCTCTCTGTCTCAAAAATAAACTTTTAAACAAATAAATAAATATTAAAATGTTATGAATGTACTAAAAACCATTTAATTGTATGATTTAGGTGGAAAAATTGTATGGTATGTGAGTTATATATCAATACATATATTATAAAAACACATATCTATAAAGACGATACATTGAAACTAGTTAAGGCAGGGGCGCCTGGGTGGCGCAGTCGGTTAAGCGTCCGACTTCAGCCAGGTCACAATCTCGCGGTCCGTGAGTTCGAGCCCCGCGTCGGGCTCTGGGCTGATGGCTCGGAGCCTGGAGCCTGTTTCCGATTCTGTGTCTCCCTCTCTCTCTGCCCCTCCCCCGTTCATGCTCTGTCTCTCTCTGTCCCAAAAATAAATAAACGTTGAAACTAGTTAAGGCATTTTTAAACATTTGTAACATAGATTAAAACATGTATTGATTAATATTTGTACATACTGCTTGTTTTTTTTTAATTTTTTTAAACGTTTATTTATTTTTGAGACAGAGAGAGACAGAGCATGAACAGGGGAGGGGCAGAGAGAGAGGGAGACACAGAATCTGAAACTGGCTCCAGGCTCTGAGCAGTCAGCACAGAGCCCAACGCGGAGCTCAAACTCACGGACCATGAGATCATTGACCTGAGCCGAAGTCAGACGCTTAACCGACGGAGCCACCCAGGCACCCCACACACTGCTTGTTAAACTTTGTAAATAAATTCTGCTTCCTGAGGGACTGTCTACATTGACTGATACACATATGATCCACATTGTGCTATTATCCCTGGATATGATATACAAACAATTGTAATCCACCTCAATCCCAAAGTCACACAAATATATTCCTTGATGGAGTGAACTCAGGTGCATTATGCGAAGCTTGCAGGACACTTTGGCATATGAGAAGTGGCCAAAATCCTCATGGAAACTACCTTGGGCTCCTGGCTCTTTGCGGGGTATAGTTCTCAAAACAGAAGTTAACAAACAACAACAAAAACTGTAAGAGAATCACTATCTGACCCAATGCAGCCATCGGTTGTCTCCTGAACTAAAGAGAGAGCCTCCATCCTGCCACCTTCCATTGTCCAGAGGTGCTTATTATCTGTCCTTGAGCTCTTTGAAGAAAGATATTTTTCCAGAAGGGAATAGGAAAGACTGAGGAGAATCTTGAGTCAAGAGTCTCTGAGTCCTTTTCCCTGCCCAGTTCAGGGCAGAGATTCTAGAAAATGAAGAAGAAAAGTAAGCTGAGAGTCAAGCTAATATCACTGTCTTCTTTCTTCCTCCTTCTGAGTGTTTTGGGGCAGGACTTGGTCTTGAGACAATGGGCAAGGGTTCCCTATGTGGCAGAGAAGAGGGCTCAGAGAAAAGGTACCAATGTCTGCAACTTTGATCTCAGGGGTCCAGCACTGAGGGTAACCTCTGGGATGCAGAAAATAACTGTGGTGGTGTAGTGTGCCCAAATGTGGAAGGAGGCATCTGGGAATCCCCATTCACACAAGGGTTAGTTTTATGTTTGTTTTTTTCAGAAGTTTCACTTTTCAATTTCACAACCTCTTTCATGCCTGGAGACCCATGACACTTGTCAATATCTGTTTCCACTGGGTATCCTGTTCTAGAGAAGCCAACTAGATGGAGTTTATTTTTACAGAGGAGCAGACAGGTAGCCAGAGTTCCCCGACTCCGAAGTCCTGAGGCACCAGATCACTGTGGTCCAAAATCTCCACCTGTTCCTCTCAGGGATGCTAATTCCGACAGAGACCCAGGAGAGTGAGTGTGGGATCTGGAGTGAAACTGCCTTTGAGGAGGAAGGAAAAGAGGTATATCCCTTTGGATCTCTTCTCCTTCCTGCCCCCTTGCTCACCTGCCTTCTCTGATCCTCATCACCTTCCCTACCACCCCAACACACACACACACACACACACACACACACACACACACACGAGAACTGCCTACCTCAGAGGGTCCCACTTCTTGAGGTACTTCGACACCACCCTATCCCCAGCCCAGATTCGCAAAGCCTGGGTACTTCAAAGGCATGGGTAATGCACACATTTGTATCCCTGGGACACCACTGGCCCCACATAGAAGAGAACTGTGAATGACCCCTGATCTGGCTAACTACTGTC